ATGTATATTGTTTGCCTTAAGGATAGATAAAAGTTTGTGCTATGAGTCTTTTCATAGCTTCGTTTGAGTACATTAAACTTAGAAGACTAAGTTGAGCACCCATTAAGAGCAAAAGCTCAACCTTAGGCATGTATATTGTTTGCCTTAAGGATATATAAAAGTTTGCGCTATGAGTCTTTTCATAGCTTCATTTGAGTACATTGAACTTAGAAGACTAAGTTGAGCATCCATCATGAATTTACTCTCTTTAAGGATTCTTAACAAAATATTTTCACAAGGCATTCACCCTTTTGTCTGGCTAAGCCAAGACTTATCATTAAATGCTTCACAGTAGAACCGCCAAAATAAATTTTTACAAGCTTTCACAAAAAACTGTTATACTTTTGTAACGCCCCAAATTCCAGGCTAGTAGTTTTGAGCTTTACATGAGAGGTAAATGGATCCCACATAATTTATAATTCAAGTAGTTGGGCTGAATTGAGTTAGTCTTGGGCCCAATCAGCCATAAAGGGAGGATTTTGCATAATAGGAAGATGAGGAGGGACCAATAGTGTAGTTATCCCATTTTTAAAGACGAGGGCTTTTATAAATCTCTCATTTCATCTTCTTCCTCTTATTCTCCATTTATCCATTCCTCATCCTCAATCTCCTCAAGTTAAAGGTGAGTCATTTAGGTCATTTCTTGTCTCTTTCAAGTTTTATTTTTGTTCTTAATCCCCCAGGCAACATGGATTTAACCATTCAAGCCATGGGTTCTTCGTTTGCAAGAGAAAGTTGGGGGTTTTATCATCCAAGTCAAGGTGGGAGATGGCTCTTCAAGTTAAAGGTGAGTCATTTAGGTCATTTCTTGTCTCTTTCAAGTTTTATTTTCGTTCTTAATCCCCCAGGCAACATGGATTTAACCATTCAAGCCATGTGTTCTTCGTTTGCAAGAGAAAGTTGGGGGTTTTATCATCCAAGTCAAGGTGGGAGATGATTTCTAGCTAAATAAGCTCAATTTCAGGATTCAATCAGTAAGGTAGTGTATTTCTAATCCTTTGGAGTATTTAGTTTTCACAAATTACAAGTTATTATTAAGATTTGAGTAATTAAGCATATTAGGGTTTAAACTTGATTTCAAGATTAAATCATGTTTTAAGTGTTAAGGAAGTATTTTTATGACACCCAAGGACCCTAGATAATTTACTAAAACTTCAAAATCAGTTTAGAAACCAACCCAAATCAGTTAGGGTGATTTTTAAGTGATTTATAAGCCTAAATACCCATTTTTGGGTTCGAGTATCGATACTGGGATGAACAATATTGATATCGTATGAATCAGAGTAAAATTAGGGTTTCTAGGCAAGAGGTATCGATACTACCCCTTTGGTCTCGAGACTAGAAGTGTTGGTCTCGAGATCAGGCCCCAATTTCAACAGCATAATGCATTTTTGGTACCTATACTCATAGGGGTATCGATACTACAGCTAGAGTATCAATACTACCCACCTCAGATGGTCATATTCAATCCATTTAAGGTTTGTAAATGGTATGTAAGGATAAAGCTTAGTCCGTGTGGGACGTAAATGGCCAAAGGGCCCCAGAGACACTCGTAGGAGTGGGTTTTAACCAGTGTAACCATAGTAGGTGTAATGCGTTCAAGTATCTCAAGTAAAAACGTAACATATATTCATGGATATATGATTAGTGCACAGGGTGTACTGACGAGAGGTACGACCATGTAATCAGATTTTAAGATCGCAGTGTCATATTCCGCAAGAACGATCGAGAATGTTGGACGCACAATTATTCCTCTAATTCTAGGGTGAATTGAGGGAAAGCGTAGGATTAGTGAATATAACATTGCTACCCTTGAATAAACCTGAGTTAGATATCAGGCCAACAAGAACCACAACCAGTAACCGACAAACTCAGTAATCTTAGTGAAGTCTCAAATCGCGTAGAGATTTCCCCAGAGTCAGAAAATGACTAAAATGCCCTTAAACAGCGAATAACCATATCACTATAGGCTAACAATAATAACAGACTAATAAACCCTAGTATAGCATTCTAGATAAGAGAATGAGCGAGATAATAACCAGTAAACAATAAACGAGATTAGTAATAATAAATTATCAGTAATAACTCAATAATAACCAGAACAGTAACAATAACATCTAGAAACAGTAATAGTTAAAATGTCATAAAACTAGCTTTTGTATGACACTAGGGAAATAACTGGGACACCCGAGTTACTTTAGCAGTAAGGCGATTGTCTTATTTGTCAGTATGTCTATGTATATACCAGTTAGTGCTAAGACACTTCTTTTTCTAGCTGGGCGCAGATGCCCCAAGACTCGACGAAGTAAGTTGGTGGGGTGTACATTTTTTATGCAATTCTGGATCTCACCTTAGGTACCAAAGGGTATTTATGCAAGATAGAGGGGTGCGTGAGCTCTGAGATGCAACCCTTTAGTCGTACCATGATGCCTACCACAACTAATGCATGAGTCACAACAGAGTCAGTAATGCATAGCAGAGTTAGTGTTGCCTTCAGATAATGCACATGAGCATCAATATCATATTTAGACAATGCAAGTCAGATTCAGACATTAGGGTTAGAGATACCATTTTAGAGATAGGGCAATTAAGCCTTAAGTAGGAAACACTTGATCTAGATCACACATGTATCTAATTAGTATCAGGTCTTCAGCATGCTTGTATTCATGAATTTTTTATACTGCTCTAGATTAGCGATTATACTGTTGGGCTTTGTAAGCTCTACCTTCATATGTTTTTTCGTTGGCAAGTTAGTAGTATGAGCAGTTTATGGAGCACCGTCGCAGCCAGACTTCTAGCATCTCCTTCAGAGTACTGTACTGTAACTTAGTGGGCATATGTATTCATAGAACCTTACTAATGTATTCATTTATTTGAGCTCAGATCCTTTATTATTTTGGTTTTGAATTATGTGTCACGGAGCTCCAATTGTGTAAAATATTTTAATACATTTATTTATGTTTTAAATATGATACCATTTAGCAGGTTTAAAAAAAAGAAAATGAGCAGGTTTCGAAAATCAAGGGTTGTTTCGTAGCCCAATGTGACACTTTAAGCCCAATCGGGTTTAGGGTGTTACAACTTTAGATAAACACATTTCCACTAGGAAATTTGTAGATTCGTGCAATTTTAAAGAATCATTCTCATACATATAAATTATAAATTTACATGATTAATGCAATTTGGGTGGTCCTAGTGAGACAGACTTGATGGATTTACCAATTTGAGATGTTGAATTTTACCAATTTGACAGTGAAGGTGGAATGGCACAAGGTTGTTTGGTTCCCTATGCACATTCCCAAGCACTCTCTCATTGCTTGGATGACTATCCTTAACAGATTACCTACGGCTGACAGACTTATCCGAATGGGGATTGGGGTGGACGATAAGTGCAGGCTATGTAGTGTTGAGGCTGAGACCCGCAACCATATCTTCTTTGAATGCTCATACTCAAAAGCTGCTTGGGGGATCATCACTCGACTGTGTAATGTTGACAGAACAATGGGAAGCTGGGATGAGGAATTAAGCTGGGCGATCTCTAGATTTAAGGGCAAAACTTTTCTTATTTTTATACTTAGAATAGCCTGGTGTGCATATGTATATTGTATATGGGAAGAAAGAAATCATAGGCAATTTAGGGGTAACAGCAGAGGCATTGATAACATTGTGAATTGTATTAAAGAGATTGTTATGATGAAATCTGTTCGTATAGCCATAAAGAGTAGCGTAGTTAACAGGGATATTTGCCTAGCTTGGGGAATTAGCTCCTCCTAGGAGGTGGGTGCTGTTTTTGGGCATTGTATTGTTGTAGCAGTGAGTTCTATTGCTTCTTGGATAATAACATGAGGAATTTATCCAAAAAATATATAAGTTTTGAGTAGTCCTTATGAGACAGACATGATGAACTCATCGAATTGAAAGATGAACTATTAAATGTTCTTGATGAATTCATATCTTAGGATTTGGGTGGTCCTTGTGATACGGAATTGATGAATTCATCAAATCTTAAAAATTGAGAGGTTGAACTTTCTAAATGCTTTTAATGTTTTTATATCCATGATTTAAGTGGTCTATATTAAGATAGACTTGATGAAATTACCTACATAAGTGTGAAGGATTAGCCACCTTCTATGAAAGATTTTGCGCGATCTTTCTAGAGCACTGACTAGCGTCCCAAGGTATATTTGGCTAAATCTGTTGATATACCGCGAAACTTATTTGGTGAAGAAGTTAGTTGTGTTGTGAGTTTACTCCTATTTTAACAAGTTCCAAATTCATTCACTTGTTAAGAGAAGAATTACTCATTCCACTATGTGTTAATTCTAGATACGTTCACTGTATTTAAGCAACTAATTTCATAGAACTGCAACCATAACTTCATGGACGGCAATATGTGATAACTTAATTTTCAACAACCACATGCTTGCTAAATATATTCGAAATTTTACATTTCTTAATACTAATCATCTCCTTTTTGACTTTCAAGAGCCTAAAATAAAGTTAACTCCCCTTCATTTATCAATTGTTTAGGTTACAAAAACGTTGGATAACACGTAAATAAATCTAAAACATATAATTCTTCCTCGCTTTTCAATTCAACCATGGATTACCACATTACTTGGAAGAGAGACATACAACTAACAATAAACACTAATAATGGAACTGCCATTCCAAGCTCTTTCAAATTAAAAACACTAACACGAAATTTAACCCAACTAGTTTTTGTGTTATTTTTTTCTTTAAATTATAATATTCAATATAATTAATATTCAAATTTTAATAAATTAATCGATTAAATTTAATTCATTTGATTTCATTATTGATGCGACGTATAATACGATGTGAAATCTAACATTTTTAAACATTTAATATTATTTGATTTAAAAATAAGATAATCTTACCGCCGTATAAAAATTTTCAATACACTAAGATTACTTTGTTCTCGTAACATATCATCATTTACATAATATATATATGGCCATGTACATATTTCATTAGCCTATGCCTCATAATATGGCAACATTTGCTTATATTATACGTCGGATCAAACTAAACTGAAGACATACATGACTAACAAATAAAAAGTGATCTATGGAGGCACAGTTATTTGTCATACTAAAACGACAAACGAAAGATACCCGACTAGTTTGTGCCTCTTCCTAGTTATTTTCACCTTGCCAAGTCCAAACTATGTCCTTAAGGGCCGGCCTCAATTCTTCCTCGTAAAACTTGTTGTACTCAAGAGTGTCACCGGTGGATTTCGACAACTCCACCACCGCTACCTCCGATGCCAGCTCGAAAACCTTCGCCGTCACTGCTAATTTCCCTTTCCGTCCTTCTACTTTCCCTTGCATTTTTACCTTAAATCCTTTCGTAGCGAATACCTTAAAGTTCAACTTATTCGCCATGGATTCAAGCCTCACCAGAGTCGCTGAAGCCGAACACTTTGAAGTGAATATAGAAGCTGGCTTTTTCTTGTCTGCGAACAAATTAGACAAATCGAATCCTGATGACATGGATGTGATCAGTTCAAACGCGTTGTAGAAAGGTGGCGGGGATGATGATGATGTACTTTCGAACTTCCCATCGCTCTCGATCTCATCCTTGTCGCCATTTTCAACCGACGATGAGTCTTGAACTGGAACAGCATCAGGCTTCAAAAACCCCTTTCGGAACCAGGGATTGGCAATGATCCCTGGAATCGTAATCCTCTTTTCAGGGTCAGCAACGAGTAGCTTCGAAATTAATCTCCGGGCGTCGTTCGAAACCCAGGGAGGAAACTCATACTCGGCCTTGAAAACTTTCATGTACATCTTCATAAGATTCTCAGCTTGGAAAGGCAAACACCCAGCCAGCAAAACAAACAAAATAACCCCACATGACCAAATGTCAGCTTTGGCTCCATCGTACCCTTTCTTCCTCAGAACCTCGGGTGCGACATAAGATGGAGTCCCACATTGCGTGTGAAGCAAACCATCGTTTCGTAGCTGTTCCGGCAAAGCAGAGAGTCCAAAATCGGTGACTTTCAAGTTCTGATTCTCGTCCAAGAGCAAATTCTCGGGCTTCAGATCACGATGGTACACGCGTCGACTGTGACAAAACTCGACCGAGCTGATCAGTTGTTGAAAGTATTTCCTGGCTGAATCTTCCTTTAACTTCCCTTTGGCTACCTTAGCGAACAATTCACCACCTTTGACATACTCCATTACGAAAAAGATTTTGGCTTTGGTTGCCATTACTTCTTTTAGCTCGACAACGTTGGGATGACGAACCATCCTCATGATTGCGATTTCCCGCTTTATTTGCTCCATCAAACCTTCTTTCTTCACTTGCTCTTTGTTGATAGCTTTGATGGCTACACTTTCTTGGGTGGACAAGTTTTTACCATAATAAACCTTGGCAAAGGTACCTTGCCCTAAAACCCTCCCCATCTCGAACTTCCCGAATACGATTTTCCTCGAACCATTCTTCTTAGTTCGATTCTCAGCTTGCCCTCCCATGCCTCAAAGTAAAGTAAAGTTCTCTCTAATTAAGAACGGGAAACATTTTCTGGATCATCTGGTTCACTGAAAGATATGGGTAGAAAAAAGTTTGAGACTGATGATTGGGGTGAAATAGGGGAAAACTGATGGGTAAAAAGAAGCCGACATTTTGTAAGGAAGAAAACAAAGCAGTGATTGTTTGTCTTGTATTGTATGCATTGACGGGCATGGTATTCTGGAGGGAACAAAGAGGACTGCGGAAGGAGCGGCAAAGCACACAGAAATGGAAATTATCATAGAATTTAACGATAAGAAACATCAGGCCAACGAAATAAGGGACACACGTTAAGTATCTGCGGGGTAAAGTTACTAGATGACAAGACTTGGACTCGGGTTGGTATTCGAAGCAGTGAAGCTTCCTCCTGTGTAAAAACTGTATTTGCCAAATCAGTACCAAATTCCCCAATACTTTGGCACAAGCTTAGTTGCATTTTAAAGATCACAGTGAATCTGGAATATTCTTTTACTGTACTCCCAAACGATGTAATTAAGGTTTAAGTCACAGCTTTAGCTTCTTACCAGACATAATTAAGAACCGTAAGTATTATGGATATGGTTTGGTTTTTCTTGATTAGGCTCACACTCTGTCCATAGTTTTTTTTTTATTATATTTTTACCAAAAAAAATAAAAAATAAAGAGATTGACCAAAAGAATAATCAAGAATATGCATCCCCACTAGGGAATTTTATATCAAAATTTAACCTACCAGATATCAGTTTTAGGTATCTATTTTTTTTCCAATTTCAATTGGCGATAATGATAAAATAGCATTTCATGTATTTTAAATACAGGTAGCATAAAACTATTCTTACTGAGTGTTCAATTTTTTTTTTTATTTTTTCTGTCATACATGTTCATAAACATTTCGGATGGATCCACGTTAAAATTTTCATGTTTATAATACCTTTTCTCTCTTATCCACAAGTATAGATATTTGTTTCTGCATAATATTAAACATTATCTCCCATGTATATAAATTAGTTTCATTGACTATGTTTACATATAAAAATTCTAACATAAACCAAGCTAAGGCCAGGATTCCACAAGTAATTTTCGTTACAAAGGTGGATGGAATAATACCAGGATCATGAAGAAGTTATAATTTGAGAAATAATCTATTAACTCAAAATGAATGTTAAAAATGAGAATAATATTTTTCATTACAGTGGGTATCCGAACTTAGGGCACAGAGAGGGGAAAGTAAATCCCTGATCACTAATCACTGTTTGGGGAAATAAGATTTTAATTAATACGAATTTGATAATTTATCTTCTGTATTTAGGGATAATGATTTCAAATATAAAAATATCTACATATGAAATTTTAAGATAAATTTACTGGATACTTTTAAAAATAATTAATATATTAATTATTCAATTAATTAAGTTTAAGATTCACACCTTTTATTAAAAAAACTTACAATCTATTACCCAAAAAAAAACTTACAATCAATAAGTCAAATGAATCATTCTTATGATTCCAAACTAATAGAACTACACTTATCAAAAACATGGGTTGGGCTTTAAACTAACATTCAGATTTATATAGTCTAAATTATTTTTTGGGTAAACTACACATTTTTTCACTAACGTTTGAGGTAGTTTTCGTTTTTCCCACTGATATTTCAAAAGTTACAATTGGTCACTAACGTTATCGATTGGTTACAAATTGGTCACTCAACGTTAACAAATGTTAACAGGTGTGACGAAAAACATACCTAGCACATTAAGTGCTTACATGGACTTGGTTGACTAGGTTAATCGTCATGTTGGAGACCCAAATATATGGTCTGTAACACCCTAGATCGGTACAACACACAGTCGACCGGATTGGGTGTCACACGGAACCACCGAAGTGGCTGACCAACTATTTTCTCAATATTCTTACTTTTAAACAACCATAAACCATGACCATTTGCATGCATAAATCATTGATAAAATATAATGAAAACTTTAACATCGGGGCTCCCAAAATAAATCATTTACAAATTAAAATAATAAACGGACCACTTAAATTACAATTGACGACTCAACTTTACATTAGGGTTTATAAATATATATACCCTTCAAAATGCTGAGACGTACTCTGCTCTGATCTGGGTTTGGACCTCGATCTCTCTAAGGCTCCTCAACTGGTCAACCTACTAACTTGCCAACGAAAACATCCGAAGGCTGAGCTGACTAGCTCAATACCACACTAACAACTAGATTATACTAAAAGTGCATCATAGAACTACATCAAGATTCTCAATCAATAGTGAATATCCCCGTGATATTCACTCTCTACTCTAATGGTAGACATCATGGTGCGGCTGAGGGATCTCTGAATCTAAGAGCTCACACACCCCTCTAGTCTTATCGAGGATATGAGCCCCGAAATCTCTGCATCAGATACCATACCCCCGACTAATCTACCATTCGCGGGTGTTCGGACCTTGCGCCCTAGTTAGTCAGTTTTAAGGACCTCGTGCCCTCCCTAAGGTTATGTCCGGACTGCATCTATACTTTCGACCCCACTAACTTTCTAACGAAACTCGAGTGTCCGAATCGTTTCCCAAGCATTAAACAAGGCTAGTTTTATGTCACCCTAATTATTTGGTTTCTACGTTTGATTTACTATTAATATTGTTCCACTTGTAGTCTTTTTGATGATATAACGAAGTGTTGGGGTATGTCAAGTCTAATTCCCTTAAAAACTTACATTTTTGCCCAAAATATACTAAAAGTATCGATACTAGCCCAAGAGTATCGATACTCCTGCAAAAGTTTGATATTTTATATAAGTTTCGATACTTTTAAACAATATGTAATGCCCAGTTTCGATACTTTTTGGGAGTTTTGAAGCTACGACCCAAAGTTTCGATACTCCTACCTAGAAAACACGATTTTACCAAGAAACGAAGAACAAATATCGATATTATCCCTATAGTATCGATACTCTACATGCATAAACCATAAAACAAGTAAAACAAAATCTATTTTTCATAATCCAAAGACCTTAAGAGGTCCTCATTCATTCTTAAAGTCTTATGTGATCTTAAGGGAGCATAAATAAGGCTCTAAACCATATAATGAACATAAAACATACAATTTTCCATGAAAATAAACTCATCATACTTCAATCCTCAACATAAGCTATTTGCATTTCTATTGGCCCTCTAATGGTATGAGGGAGTTGTGAGTGTGTTACCTGAATTCTTCGAGTGCTAAAACCTCTCTCAATCAACTAAGAATCTATCATTCCTTTACCCGTGGCTTTTGAACTTTTTTCAATCTCTTTCACTTGGTTTCTTCAAACTAGGCTTAGATTTCAACAAACTTCTACCTTTTTCTTACTCTTGCGAAGGAAATAAAGAGAGAAATGAAGAGGAAGAAGGAAGATATTTTAGGTGGGTTGATTTCACGTGGAAGACTCTCGATATAAAGGGGTTTATAACCTTTAAAACAACTATAGGTTAATTGGTATCTAGGTCCCTCTCCTTTTTACCTTAAATTTAAAACTACCACTTAACTAAACTTTTGGGTCTACTTAGGCCCAATACCTTAAGAATTGGTTTAAAATGATTTGGAAAAATCTTACGAATCTATTAACGGGTTTTGGATTGACCGAAACTATTAACTCAGAATTCGGGGTATTACATATTCTCCTTTTCTTCTCCTTCAATCAAACATCGAACTTCACTGCCTTTTCACATTCTTCCCCCAAAATGCCGGCCACCACACCAACTTTTCAATACGACATCATAATACCATCAGATACTCAAAATATTCTCATTCAAATCCACTTCAGATCCTTTATGAATGATAAAGCTTATTAACCGAATCCGAAACTAACTCGAATCTTTAACATTTAAAATCCGCAACCAACAATCGAGTGTTAAAACCCCATGAAGCAGAAAAAAAGAAGGCGTATAAGACGAGTAATACGTACCCCTTGTTTCTCCATTTATGAGCTTCTTCAACCCTGTAAATATTGATAACTCTCCCAAAGAAACAAGTGCAAAATTTAAGAAATGATCCAAAGTTCCTTTCTGATACACATTACCAACAAGAAAAATAGCTTACCAGTTACCCGCCAGTACCTGAAATGTCACCATCCATCTTTATACACGAGAAGTTTAATGGAGGAAGCAGTCGATCATGAAAACAAAACAATATTGTTTCTGATCATGATAACAGGCTCAGTCGACATCATCATAAAGAATGCAAAATTTAGCAGTGAAGATCATAAGGAAAAACAAAAAATAGGAGGAAATGGATCATGTTTCGTCCAAAGAGTGTCTTAAAGTTTCATCATTACAAGTATAGACAAACAAGGGGAGGAAAAACCAAAAGAAATTCTTTACTGGATCAACTGACCTAATTGACTGACCCTAATGTTTCTAAACTCTAACCTACACATGGGTAAAAGGGGCGCTCGCCCAGGGCTCTTCTTGTCTGGGCCCAAAATTGTAAATTCACATATAATTAAAATATGATAAACTATTTATTTAGTCACTCATCTATTATTTTCTTTCTGTTTTGGTCATTCTGTTATTTTTTTTAAAATCATACTTAATATTACATTTTCTGTACTTGTTATTAGGGGACTAATTTTTATTTTTGCCTCGTGCCACTAAAATCTCATAAACTGGCTAGTTCACTTGTAGGATGATCTATTAGACAAAGGACTTGGATTCAGTTTTCTTTTGTAACTCGTTACCATTATGTTATAGACCATTAGTCCGGATACATTCTTTTAAACGTTAAGGGTGATGGAAAATGGAAATAAGACCGTCACCTTTACAACTAAGGATAATTAGTAGCTAAAACTATCTAAATTTAAGATCAACAGAGCATTTAGCAGGAAATATAAGTGCTGATGGAACACTAATGCGGCCTAGGGATCCACTTTCTCCCATTGATAGCGTCCTGGAAGTGGCTTGTCTTTCAATTGATCAAAGTTGTACCTGCAAATAATCCCACATCTTTTATCATATCATAAACCACAAATAAACTAAAGAGTTTCTGCAAAAGTTTAAGACAGTCATAAAAGTGAGAAATAGGTTGAAGGAAATATAGTATATACTTCTCAATGAATTGCCTTTGCTGATCTACTTATGCAAGAGAAAAGAACCCATCCATTTCATGTGATGTTGGGATTTGTCGCCTCGTTGACTTCTGTACTCATTGGTTATTCTCTGCTGAGCTGGTCGGCCTAGTAGTTGAACCTGGGGTTCTTATGCTATCTGGGCCCCTTATTAAGCTGCACGGAGTAGACTCCCTAGTGCCTCCACACAAAACAATAGCTATTAGTTAATGAAAAGTGAAAGAATCTAAACGTAAACACTCAATTCCAGGAAGCCAGTAAAAAGCATTTTCTTGTTTGAAAGAGATGGTGTTTGGGGGAAGAAGGTGAAAAGGGAGGGAAGATGGTTGTTTGGTTGAAGGAGAAGAAGAGGAGATCGTATATTTGGGTCTCCAATGTGGCGGTCAACCTTGTCAACCAAGTCCATGTAAGCACTTAATGCGTCATGTATGTTTTCCTCACGCCTGTTAAGGTCTGCCAATGTATGGTTTGTAACCAATTGATAACATTAATGATCGATTTGTAATTTTTGAAACATCATTAGAGAAAACGAAAATTACCTCAAACATTAGCGACCATGTAATATATCCTTATTTTTTTAATAATAAATATATTATTTTTTAAAACTAAATTATAATTTTATTATTTTTAAAGGAACTTAATAATAAAATTAGTATTTTAAAGAGCCTTACTTCCCCACTAGTTTTATATGAAAATTAAATAATCTAATGTTGAGAAACCAGAAATAATATTAAATATAGAATGATATGTAAATTTTAAGGAAGACATTGGAAACTAATGGCTCGATAAGTGAATAGATATCCAAATCAAATCCAATCTAGTGGCTTGAGAAACCACCGAAAGAATTAAAACTAAGATAGCTTTAAGCACTAAAAAGAAGGGGGGGAAAGAGTTTAACATAAACTATGGCTGTTGGATTAGTTTAATTAATTTGTTTTTTAAATATTGCCCATAGCTTCAACATTGTAGCTTAAGGATCTCGCATCTTGACCAAACATGAAAACTATAGTTTTTTTTTCAATCAAAACTTTAGTCTTTGTGGTAAGGAAAATAATCACCTTTGATTTTGCACTAGATCAAGGGATGGATCTGGGTGGAGGAAGTCATGTTATTAAAAATTTAAAGTTATCATATATTTTAGATTTTTCTATATATTTTCTATTAAAAATCTGTTTTCACCTCCTAAAATTTTATAAGTTTAAGTTCGTCCTTGAAATTTTATAAGTTGAAGTTCATCCCCTAACTTAAAATCTCACGTTTGTCCTACCTATATCTTAGAAAAATATTGCTGATTTGTTTTTGTTACAAAAAATATTGCTGAATTGAAATCTTCTTGTTGCTATATTTTATCCACACACATATATATATATATAGTAACATCATAAACTCGTGCTACATTAGTTGTGGTGAAGTCTAAAACAATTAATAATATAATTTTGTAAAATATAATGAAACATGTAGTGTATTGATAATGAACATTTTTTTAGTTTTGTTTGGCATTAAATTTTAAATTTATTATTTTATAAAAAAAAATTAAAGTATAAAATCTTTATAAAATTAAAGATCCAAAATTTCAACTGATAGGTGAGTAATAAGATGAAAAATTAAAATAAGGAAACGTTAGGAGAATCCCAGATACAATAAACGTGCTTCACGTGCTCGTCAAGATAATGCCCTCTCCTCCCTCGTGACCCACTTACTAATTGGGATGGGCATTGGACTCGAATCCAACCCGATCAGATTGGGTTTTAAAAAAAAAATCGGGTTCAGATCGGGTCGGGTTTGAGTTTAGGGTGAAAAATATCCGACCCGAAAAAAATATAATTTTACCTTATATATTTTGGAATAATTAAAATAATATCACTCTATATATTTTTTTTTTCAATTAAGGCATTGATTTTATTGAATAAAAATAATATTTTTTTATTATTTAGGGTCGGGTTTGATTTTTAAGTTATATATCGGGTCGGATTCGGCTGAATGATGAAAAAATTTGGAACATTTAAATTATTTTGATAATAATTATATTTTTCTTAAAATATATTATTAAAATGAAAGAATATATTATTATTATTATTATTATTAAAATTTTGGTTAAGTTATTGTTATAAATTAAGGTAAAGTACATAAATTGTACCTAACTATAGAGTGTTGCTTTGTTGAGTCATATGACTATTAAATGTTATAAAACGGTCATTCAATTGTTTGTATGTTGAAATATGATCCTATAATCTCAAATGACTATCTCATTTTAATCAACATGTTAATGTCAAACTCAGACAACCGTTAATTTTTAACGACAAATGACAAGTTTAGAACATATAAATAGTCAGATGATCAATTTGTAATTTTTAATTGTCGATGATCAATAAAACAATATTTTATAATTAAAAGATCATTTTATAATTTTAATAGTTGGAATCAACAAAGCAAGTGAAATTGGTATTAAAGAAAAGAAAGGAATAACAGTCAACAATTCAAGGGAGAAATTATAGTATGGTGGAATAGACCCTAAAAGAAAACAATAGACCCTAAAAATTAAAAAGGTAAGGTTCTTTGCCCACTATCAATTTAATTAGTCACAACTGCTTCATTAGATTATTCTATACATCTTCAAAGTATGATGAGATCATGCATTGCATCATTTGCCCTTTTTCTTTTTGAAACTTCGTTTAGGCAGCCTTGCATGTAGGGGTGTGCAAATTCGTATACCCGGAATTTTCGGGTCGACGATTTTTCGGTTCGTGTCTCGATTCGGATATTACGGATACCTTGTATCTAATTTTTTTATTTTTTATTTTTAAAATATTAATTTTAAAAAAATATACATAAATTTAAATGTTCGAAACTTCGAATTACATACTCTAATATCCGAACATAAAATTTAAAAATTCAAAATACAAAATCTAATAATCCATAATATAAATAATTCAATATATTTTATATAATTATATATAAAAAATAAAAAAACTAATCACGGGTACCCGGAAAAATTATATTTTGTGACCCAGGCCCGATCCGGTACCCGACCCGGCCGGATATTTGTTTTAGAGAATTATCTGATTTTTTAGATCCGGATCGACGGATCAACGGATCGGATCAACCGAATCGGGTAATTTTACACACCCCTACTTGCATGCATGCATGTCGTTATTTCGGAACATGACATTATTAAACCAAGTGGACGATTCGCTCAAGTGTTAAACCTTTCAACTTGATTTAATTTAACCTATATATATATATATATATATATATATATATATATATATATATATATATATATATATATATATATATATATTTACGGATTTAAATTTAATATTCGTAAATTTTATAATCTCCTATTTTATGTAATCTATAGAGTTGATATGAGTAATAAAAAAATATTTTTCTTTTATAATCTCCTATTATATGTCTCTTTTGCTAAAGAAAGAAAAACATCAAACCGTAAGAATTAAAGACGTATTTTATGCTCAACTATGATCGCTTAAAATATAAATATTAAAAAATAGAAATTAAAGAGTTATATGAACAATATCTACCAACCTTTTGTTTATTATTTCAATCCAAATTAATAATCAAAATTAATTATTTATGGTTTAAATTTATTCATGGTTACTCTGATAATAACTTTAGAAATATATAAAAATATAATGCAACACAATCAGAGTCGCTATTAGGGGAGCCCCTTGAGCGATTGCTCAGGCCCCTACTTTTTCATCTTTATAATTAGTTTTTTTTTTGTAATTAAGGCCCCTAATTTTTTAAAATCTTATTTTTTACCTTTATAATTAAGGTCTTAATTTTTTTCAATCTCACTTTCTATCTTTATAATTGAAGTTTCTAATTGTTTCAATCTCATTTTTTACCTTTATAATTAAGACCCCTAATTTTTTTTAATGCCACCTTTTAAATTTATATTTGAGGCCCCTAAGTTTTTCAATTACACTTTCTACCCTTGTAATTGTGGCCTCTAATTTTTTTAATCCCACTTTTTACCTTTATAATTGAGACACCTATATTTTTCCAATCTCAATTTCTACCTTTATAATTGAGGCCTCTAATTTTTTCAATTTCATAGAATTCTCAATTTCTCATTCGTTTCTCCATCTCTCTTGTTAGTTCATTTAATTTTGAATTAAATCTAATCTCTCTCTCTCTCTTTTTACAGATATCATTCTTCAATTGATCAAATATTATTTAACTATTAGTATTTTTCAATCTCAAGCTAGTGATAAAATAATATGTTATTATTTATTTTTTTAATTTATTAGTCAAAATCAAGCTCTATATCATTATTCATACCCACATTTAACCTTTTTTAATCTACTAGTTGCATTTAAGGTGTTTTCCTGACAAAACAATGGAAATAATATTCAACAAAATTTAATTATTTTTTACAATTTATTAATATAATATTAAATTAATTGTTCAAAGTAATAGAATATACTTTCATTATATAAAGACCTATTTTTTGAGTTTTCACTCAAGACCCAAAAAATGTTCGAGACTGCTATGAACTACAATAAACATATAAAATGTATA